GTTACCCTCAAAGCACCTGCTGCAGCGTAACCTGAATTTACAACCAAGGCTTACACGAAGTAGCAAAACTTCACTTTGACATTCAGGGGAAAAATCCCAAGGGAGTACAATCAGAAAGGAACACTCGAAGGTGTAGGGGCGAAACTGTTCAAGTATCTAACTAGTCACTGGCTCTGAGCATCGGCAGTCACCCGCAGGTGCAGTTCCGAACTACTCAAGTCTCTAACCAATGGACTAGCTCTGAACATTCGGCCGAAGGCCTTCAGTTACAAAATGCGGAACGCTAAGTTGTAACTCCTCGTGCGTGGTGACAGAACTCAAGGACACAAACACGCAAAGGAAATGGGTTCCTGATCTGCACTTCTGATGGGAAAGAACTCCAGGCAAAACGCCTGGAACTATTTTATACCTTCTAAGTCCTACCTAACACTACACCGCACTACCATGGTGCGAGCCGCAACAGATCCTACACCTGAGGAGTCGGCGGCTGCCTTCCCCTCTAACTTACAACCTAAATCTAACCCTAACCCTAAATCTGAATCCTAAGCCTACTGTACAGAGCCGCCAGCGCCTTACCATCCAAGATCTGAGGCTGAAAAATTTGCAGGCATGCGTGGCCGGCCGAGATCAACGGCCCCACAAAATTTCAGATCCATCCGACCGTCCATCGCAAAGATATGGGCCCCGCAAGATCTCTGAACCTAGTCCAAAATTCCTTCTCCAAAATCCGAGGACTGTGGGTCCCACGCGTCCTACATGCAAGCCGCCTACTCGCAGGCCGCCTTGGGCCGAAGGCCCCTCTAACTGTTAACGCCGAAGGCCTCACGGCTAACCATGACAGCCGCTTTCGACGCTCATAACTCATTGACGCCTTATCCGTTTCAAGAGATCTTGGTCTCGTTGGAACCAGCTCGTCGAGTTCTTTTCAACGAGACCCGAATCAAGTCAAACCGCTAAGAATTGAGAAAGTTATGTCGGTTTTACTCTTCCGCCAAAGGCGTTCGCCTATCCACAGTCTGTCCGCGGCGCTGAGCTGGCGCAGAAGGCGCCGTACACTTTCTACCTCACAAGGCGCATTTCTAGGGCCCAAGGCGGATTTCCCGCCGACGCCGAAGCGCCTGTGCACAGGCGAACGCCTGTGCGCAGGCGAACTTCCTTCGTCCGCGCATAGGACAAAACTTTCTTCGCCTGTGCGCAGGCGGAAAGCTGAGTATCTTGCGACCTTCATAACTCCCGGAATTCTCCTCCGTTCGTGGCGTTCTTGGGCTCGTTAGAATCAGCGCGTCGAGCTCTTTCCAACGAGACCCGAACCAAGTCGAGGCGTTGCGAATTGAGAAAGTTATGAGGGATTCACTCTTCCGCCGAATGCACTCTCCCGCATCGCCGAAGGCGTTGACCCGAAGGCGTTGACCCGAAGGCGTCTACCGCCCAAGGCGCATCTTCCGGCGGTTCTTCCGCCGAAGGCGTACCGCCAAAGTCGCTCTACCGCCGAAGGCCCCTCATCAGTAACTTCCGACACTCATAACTCAGTGATCTCTCATCCGTTTCACAATATCTTGGGCTCGTTAGAACCAGCGCGTTGAGCTCTTTCCAACGAGACCCTAAGCAACTCAAAGCGTTACGAATTGAGAAAGTTATGAGTGATCTACCGCCGAAGGTGCTCGAAGCGGATCCTGCAGCATGAACCGCCCGTTCCGTCCCAAGCGTCCCACTGTGGCCTAAGCCCAAAACCCCTTGACTGTCCTCGATCCTCTGGTTTCGCGTACCGATTACTATTTACAGCTACTGCCGCGGTACTTACTATTCAAAAATGTTTTAGTTCCGATAAAAAACAAAAAGTGGGTTACCACATCTCTGCCGCCGTCGCCCGCCGCCGAAGGCGATCGAGCGGAGGGTGGCTGCGCGGGGTTTGATTGCGCATCGCGCCTCGAAATTTCATCCCGCGGACAGTCACTCCGCTCCTCCGTCTGTTGCTGCTCCCTTGATCGGTCCGTGGGGGCTGTGCTCGGCCTGTGCGCAGGCGCAAATGCCGGCGCCTTGTCCGCCGCAGGCGTAGCGCCGCGGACATCCATCGCCGAAGGCGACATGGCTGGGGGTCGCTCGCCCGATGTCCCTTGGCCTATAGGCCCTACCGCCGAAGGCGCATCTATCGGCGGACTACCCGCCGATGGTGCGGCCTCCGCACGCTCCCTGCTCGTATCTCCTCGGCTCGAAGGCCCTGGCGCCGAAGGCGCAAATTGCGGCGCGTGGTGCGCCGGAGGGTCTGGCCCCGAGGGCCGGTGTCTCGTAGGCGGTTCTTCCGCCGGCTCTTTCCCCTTCCTACGTTGGAACGGGGGTGATTCTTGCCTGTGCACAGGCGGCACGTGTGGAGGTGTCCTGTGCACAGGCGAGCGCCTGTGCACAGGCGGACTACTCCTTTCCACGCGTAAGCGTAGATCCACGTCCACTTGTGATCGCCTGTCCGCGGAGGCTCGTCCGTCCGCGGAGTCTCGTCTGTGCGCAAACGGAACATCTGTCCGCGACGCACGTGGTAACTCCGGAGGCCCTTGGCCCGTAGGCGGCCTCTCTCCCGTCGAGGTTGCAGCGTGGCCCGTTGCTCCTGCGGTCGTCCGCGCTTCCTCATGCTTCTCTGGCGACGCACTTCCTTTCTCCGTCGCAATCGTCGCCGTGTCCGCACTGTCGGCTGGTAACACCAGTCTGCGTGCCTTCTGCTTCGGCCGGCTGTATGACTCGTACAGCGGCCGCGGTCGAATGGGAGCAGAGGGTTCTTGATGCTGCTCCTCTTCGGACTCTTCTCTCCATCGCCGCTTCCGCGGCACTCGTGCTGCAGGAGTGTTTCTTCCTTCGTCCCTCCGCCTTGATGGGGTAGAAGTCGGTGACTCCTCTGCATCAGTGTCGACCTCATTCTCCCGCACATACTTCCCGGGATGGTCGACGGACAATGGCGGAAAATGCTCAAGCTCCGCCGCTGTCAAACAATTCCGCTGTCGATAAAAATTGATGAGGAAAGGAGAAAGATGGTTTAGAGTTCCCCCCTTCTCCTCAAACGCGTGCTGTCGCATCACCATGTGCAGGATGCTCGCCCAGTGAATTGGAGTTCCCTCGATGACGCACTCCACAAAAGAGACCTGCCACAATGTGATGTAGCAGGCGCGGTGCGGCTGCAGCAATTGCATCAGCGCCGCGGACAAAGTCCGGCGAAATCGATCCTTGTAATCACGGGTCCTGTACCCATTCTTGGTAGACCTCCCGGTCTTGAACAGCTCCACAAATTGCGCCTCTTCCTGCTTGGTCACCTTGATGCTCTCACTGTCGAAAAGGAGATGCCCTGGCATGCCAGCACATCTTCCCAACGCCTGCGCCCAATCTTGGACTGTCCACCGATCAACATGCGGACGCAATCCGCGCGAGGGTGGTCCCTGTGGCTCTAGCCACTCGCGCACCATATTCGCACAGATGTAGTTCCACCCCCATAGCAAGAAATCGAGCTTTCTTGCTATTAAGCGCTCCTCGAAAGCGCGCAGCCCGTTCTGTGGTAGGCGAAGTGGCACCATCCGCAATCTGCTCGGTCTCGTCATTGCGTTCCTGGGGTTCGCTCGCCCGCTCATTCTACTTCCGCACCGCCCGAGCTTCTTTCTCTCTCGGCAAACTCTAATCGCCCTCAATTCCAAATCACGCGCATTCACTTCTCCCTCAATCAACAAGAAATCTCCTGTGCGGCGACGTCGAGAATGTTTAGCAGCCAGCAGATGGATGCGCGCAGCGCGCACAAGAGATTGGAATCGCGAATTCAAGAATGGGACGTTCTCCGCCGCCCGGTCGAAGGTCATGGTCGGCTCTTGCTCGTGAAGAACGTCTCACTTGATGGCCGCGCCGGCTGTACGCTGGAACGGTCTTCGCTCTCACGCGCGGCTTCACGCTCCGCCGTCGTCGATTAAACTCTCACGCTCGAATTGGCGGATTTGAACTCCGCGAGCGTATTACCCCGCGGACATGGGGGCGTAGCGCCGAAGGCGAGTTTTCCGCCTTGCGCGGTACACTTGTTCGTACCGCCCCTCGGCCAATCCCCCTCTGCCTTGACGCGTGTGTCCGCATGTCGGACAAAAGTTCAACTCCTGCCTGTGCGCAGGCAGACTCCTCGGCGGATTCTCCGCCGGCGCGGAACTTCATCCTCCTGTGCACAGGCGCTCGCCTGTGCGCAGGCGAATTCCGTGCGCGGCGTCGCGCTGGCGCGGAAGGCGTTGACCGTGGTCAGCCGTCTCCGTCCAGTCTGTCCGTTTCTTGTCTCTTCGTCGGCGCTTCCGCCGCCGCAACTCCGTCCGTCCAAGAGCGCATCCACCCGTCCAGTCCGCATGGTCCGTACAGATTTGATTACTCTGGCGGCTCTTCCGCCGTACGCGGCGCTGCGCTGGCGCGGAAGGCGCCGTACACTTTCTACCTCACAAGGCGCATTTCTAGGGCCCAAGGCGGATTTTCCGCCGACGCCGAAGCGCCTGTGCACAGGCGAACGCCTGTGCGTAGGCGGACTTCGCGCCTCCCCAAACCCTACTTCGCCTGTGCACAGGCGAACGCCTTCGTCCGCGCATAGGACAAAACTTGATTCCCCCTTCCGCGTAGGCGGAATTCGCGCCGGTGGCGAACTCCTTCCGCCGAAGGCGACCGTCTCCGTATCTTCCAATAGTGATAGCTCCCTAAGTCCTCATCCGTTCCAAGCGTTCTTGGACTCGTTGGAATCAGTGCGTCGAGCTCTTTCCAACGAGACCCTAACTTGGTCAAGGCGCCCGAGGGTGGACCTAATTATGGAGGATTTCCCTACCGCCGCGGACGCAACCTCCGAAGGCGGGTTTTGCGCCTTGCGTCGTAGGGGTCCTAACTGCAGAGCTCGCAGGGAGGGTGGTGCCTGTCCTTACTGCTGCACCCCAAATCCCAGATTCTACAAGATCCCTCGAGAATCCCCGCGATCTTCCGGATTCACTCCGTTTTGATGTACCGAAGGCTATTTACAATGCTGCCAGGGTACAGTTTTCCAAAAATGTTTTAATTTCCTCAAAATTGCCAAAAGTGGGGTACCACATGTTTCCATCTCCCCAAATAGTGACTTTGTCCCGCGGTGGTGTCCTGGTATTCTCTTGACGTAAAGTTGCCAGGAACCAGCCTGCGAAGGCACCAGCAGCCACGTACGTGTACGGTATCCCAAACTTCTCGATTGCTCGCCTGACCTTTCGTTTGTCTCCGAACAGACCATCCGTCACTTTAAAGTCCAGCTCCAACATGTCGACTTCGATGCCGAATTCTGATGCCAAGAACCTCTGCATCAGTATCCATCCATCCAGCACTCATTGATTTCCACGTGAGCTTCCCGGATAAGTTGGCAAAATTATAATCATGGCGTTCAGGACCGATGGCAGAAACGATGGTCAGTGGACGCTCGAGATGATTTTCCTCGTTCATCTATTTGATCTGAAGAGGAAGCGTCTGGGATTCTCCCTGTAGAATCCAGATACTATAAAACAGAAAGGTCTTGGAATGGCTTCCGCAACAACCTTAAAAGGACAGCTGGGTAGGCAGAAATATATTAGGCCTGGCATACTCACCTTGATTATTCCGGCTTCCGTGGCGTCCTGGAGGATCTTGATCTGATCGACCAAGCTTGCTCCACCCACAGTCGAGATCACCACATCCACTTGATGGAATGCGGACACCAGGCTCTCGTGATCGTTTACGTCTCCCTGATTGTCATACATTATAGACAACCTTGAAAATGAGGTGGTTAAGGTTCGCAGTTATCTCCAATGAAAACCACTACACCGCTTACACGTCCATTGCAAAAGTTGAGTTAAAATACTGCGAACCGATCGCAACTCCATTGCAACTCTGAGTGATCCATCATCTATAGTATGAGTTCCAAGGAAGGAAGCACGAACGTAGTCTTAAACACGACGAGAAAGCATAGTGTCTGAGACAGTTTTCTATGGTCGCCATAATGTCAATTGCAGCAGAGTTTCTCTGAATTTCCTATTCTGTCTAGTGACGAAGGGAAACGTTTCACATTCAGATAAACAGACAATTTATGTCTGTTTGGTTGAACCTGTAAGCAAATGTTCAGACTTTGTGGCACAGAAAGTATTGTGACACTCGACACCTGTCTCACTGTCATGACACGATGAACGATATAATGACCGAGAAATGATCATTCCATTTGGATGCAGAAAACAGTTCGGTCAAGACCTCACAGCCAGCGGTTTCTCCAGCGTAGGAGCCGTACACTGATAATTAGAAATGTCTAGTCTAAAAGTTTGAAGAGTTCAATAGAAGCCGTGATTCAGGTGCTTCTTTATCGTGAACCACACTCACTGGGTTCAATAAATATATAACAGGTAGTGTTAAGGTGTTAACAGGTGTGTTCTGTGTTTCTTTTCAGTGTAAGTCCGTTCTGAAGGATATGAAAGAATTTGTAGTTCTGTGGGTCTAGAGGCCAAATTTGAAGCGCTTTGACCTACATTGCAACTCAGGTAAGTACTTTGTCAATACCATTCGGCAGCAGGGATATACAGTACCTTGAGAACAGTGACTCCAGACTCCTGAAATGACTTTATCAGCTCGGCCTTGGCAGGATCGGCAGAGATGAGAGATCGAACGAGTATGAAAGTCGGATGCCCTTGGTTTACACTGGCCTTGCACACATTCTTCCCAATGTAACCCGTGGCACCAATCATCAGCACTTTGGACTTAGTAATGGCTATTTATTCTAAGTGCTAGCCTGCCGTGGATGACTAGCTGGCAGTCTATGCTCTTACAGTCTGAAGTTCTAACGGGTTCCTTTCTCTTAGAAATAAAAGTTTAGTGTCCAAATCAGTAAGACCCGACAAGGCGGGAAGCCTTTGTTAGCGAGTACTTTCTTCTATTTGTTCTTCAATCCACACAAATCAGGTATATGTTTGTTCAGCGTTTTGCGTCTTGCATATACACTGTGGCTTTGCTTCATGATGCATCTCGCTCCTCAGGCCAAAGTCAAGGTCGTGGCCTGAGGATTCGGCACTGTGAATGAATTCGATGACACCAGACAGATGCGTTTCATGTCCATGGATTTGGGCCTCAGTCACACGGATTGCATGCTCTTCTTGTCCCTGCCTACTATTTTAGAGAGAAGCATGAACTTTGCCTACTACAGTCTTCGAGTGAATCTATCTCAAAAGTGCAGAGTTGCAAACACGTCTTGCACAGGCGAATGGAAGCGTATCAGCAAGCCAGTTTCCCTGGACGATCGTCTTAAGGACATGAATCCTGCAGGCAGAAGGAAACCACAATTATGTCGTGCCAGAATATGCAACTTAGTCAAAGTGGATTCTGGTCCGGCCATTCTGGTCCTTGTCATACAGGTCCTTGTCAATGGTTCATTGAGAGAAAAATAAATTGGTCAAGAGTTATAATGGGCCATTGAGGAGGTGTCTATCAATTGGCATCTTTCATTTAAAACACAGCGTCAAAAGAATACTATACCGCATGCGGTAGACAACACATCTTTCGGCCAAACTTTTCTTTGATTTAAGTCGCGTCATTTCGACATGATGTGAGATGGAATGACACGTCGTAGCTCAGTTTTTGTATAAAATATCCGACCGGAGCCAGCTGCGTTTATGATCAGAGCTATGTTAAACGCCATGGTCACGAATCTGCTCTCGAGGTAGTTGACTGCTGTGGTGGTCTGGGTCTTCTCAACCGATGAAGGCTAGATGCAATGGGATACTCTAAGAGTAAAGTGGACAGCATTTGATCCTCAGATTACCTCTCTTTCGAGGGGTTTCAAACTTACCAGAGCTCAATGAAAGCACTCCTCGTTGTTCCGAAATCAATTATGCGATCTCAATGATGAAATTCCCACAGACAGTTCTTGATTGAGCAGTATGACATTCTTTCGTGTCCAACGCAAAGCTTGATTCAGCAGCTTAAATAGTGATGGTTGGAATTATGGTACCCATGACCCTCCTGGGGTCCATCTGCTTCATATGCACGACTCCGGTGAGTCACAGTGTTAGGTTCTTCCAAGATATCGACTCATGAACTCCTTCGGATTAGAAGCCCTCCTCCTGGTGCTCTGTCCTAACTTGTGACCCAGTCTGAGGAAACTCGAGGTTTGAGTCTAGGCAGCTCGAAAATCGAGACAGTGACGACAGGTATAAATTGATTGGTTGAAATTCCATTCCCTTAATTATTAGCACGGGCATCCTACCTCAAAAACTTATTACTACGGAAGGTTATAATAGCAAATACTTTACAGTGAGATATGCAAGCATGTCACGTTTATCGTACTCGATCTTCCAGGAACCAGTGCTAGTTCTCCCATTCAGAAACCTAAAGATTCGATGCAGGTGTGGAGAACGGTGAATGAACATAATCTGTACAATAATTTTTGTAGCTGATCTTGGAGCTGCAGTGATCAACACGATGCAGGTGCAAAAAATCGCAGCTGTCGAGAGCGGGGCCCATCGCTGAGCGATCTTAAAAGGTGAGAGACTATCAGACCTTCTGCAGAGCACGCCGTTTTAAGATCCTGAGTACGCAAAGGGCTCCATGGAAACAGTGCAGGTTCCACTAAGACCGAGCTACGTAAACCTTGAAGCAATTCAGAAGCTCTTCATTAGATTCTCAAGATGATCAAGTTCAATATATACAGATGTATTACTATGAGCTCCAAATCGTCCCCATCCTCTCAAAATATGCCGGTACATTCTTACAGTAGCCTCTATCTCAATCCAACCTTATTCTGAGCACTAACAGAAGATTTATATTTTTAGCTGATCTGGTTGCAGTATGCAATTCAGTGGAATTCCAGTCTAGTCACAGAAGAAACCAAAGCGTTGCGGAACTCAGGGATTATCGAGTTGCCAGTTTCGCCTGGAAGCATCTACATATCAAGTTTCTACTGTATCCGGATCGCCGATGAAGACTTGAGACATTTGGGCTCTGAAGAAGTTGAAGTGGCCCCGGGTGCTTTCATAAGCGTGCACTATCCGAGAATGTAGGAGGGATCAGCAAATATCCCTGACCAACAAGCCTGCTTATTCGCTCTGAGCTTATCTACGCACAGGTATCCTGTCCCGAAACTTGTTAGGACGAGGATGCTGATTTTAAAGGCCGTGCTTAGCCTCTTAAATTAGCATGTATGCCCGATCGATAGCTGAAAGTGACAACTCACAAGTTGAGCTCTTCACGTCCGTGATTTCTTACTTCTGCAATTTGAAGATTCTGCTATCATCCATTCACGAAGATACAACACATGCGCATCTCTCGTTGTAAGCGGCGATTCGAAGACAGACAGCATGATGCATTACTTGATGGATCTCATTCGAGATTGTCTTTTCTCACTTGGCCCGAACTTGTTACAAGTCATTGTAGTTCGCCATGAGGATGATTCACGTTGTCAGGCGTATTCTGTATTCTTTCAGATGGATCCTGTTCACACCCGAAGCCTCTACATTGTTTTACTTCAAGATGTCGGAAGATGTTTTGAAGACGGAGAAAAAATCAGTCGACATCATGAAATCTGAAAAGATTTCAGTTTCAGTTTTCATGGTCTACAGTTTTATTGCTTATACTTAGAAAGTTCTTGACGGCTTTATTTTTCAATGTAAATCGGCACCATCGTTCGCCAGCGAATGAGATCAGACAGTACATATTCACCCGACGTTCATTCAGGTTTTAGAAGTTAGCCCCCTTGGCCAGTATAAGCATAAAAACCAGAGTCAACTAAGTGAACTGGACACATATAGAAACCAGGTCCAGATGCAAAGTTGTATTTGACGTTTTGATGTCCAAAACGGACATCAACACGTCATTGGTCGACACGTCAACTTGAACTTTTTGTAAGGTTTGCTAGGTTCAGACATATCGATCAATGTGCTCGCTCCATGTCATTGACTTTAATTCTGAGTACAGCTATGAGGCTTCCACGTAGGTCGGGCCCATCTCAAGGATCTGATCGCCATGTACAAAAATGGAGTACCCAGTGGCGTGATGCAATGAGGTTGGGTGTCCACTATCTGCATTCATATCGACAATCCGATTTTAACAAGGTCACGAGTAGCTCAGTGTATATGCGAGTGGTAAGTTCCAGTTGCATCAAATTAATTAAGACATAACTCTAAACATTGTTGGTTTGGAGACCCTACAAACTGGAAATCCAAATTGATTTGATTTAGATAGAGGGCCTCTTTCTGAGAGCGTGATCATCAGCAGCCACTGACGTGAAGTTAGCAATACCATTCTCGTCTTTTGCAGCTGATACAGAAGAAAATTACAAAGAATTGGGCACAGTTTCTTAGATTTGCCATGTAAGTTCTACAATAGTCACATAGTTCACTCGACAATCTGATTCTTATAAAATCCCTCAAGGCTTACACATTTGACGAGCATACACTTTGCCATGGTCCTGGGAAAAGGGAGAGCTACGTTTAGTATTTTCATCCCCCATATGACCACAAGACGACAAGATGGTCATATGGGGGAATTGTCATACAAGACACCTATATGGTCACACGTTTATGGAATACTGTACCTGACTTCTAATTTGTGTTTCCAACCTTGACAATTTCCATATGGAGGTTGTAAAATTCAACAATTTCTTCATAAATACTTTGTACTCTTGGAATTTTACATTTTATATATTGTGAAGAAATGTAATATGAACTTTTTTTGATCAAAATAGTTTGATGTGAAACTCCATTGAAATTTACATTTACTCCAA